GTGGCCATGGCCATCTGAGGCTACCTGAGCCAGAGTTCACTCACCCAGCACAGGACAGAAAAGGATCCATCTCAGTACTTCTACCCAGCAGAATAATGTGCTGTGGAGCACCCAGGGCCAAAGATCCAAGTAGTTTTGATGGATTCTGTGAGCACCGTGTGCTGTCGAAGGCTGAGGAGCTCACTCTTCACCTGCCCAGCTGCCATGTGGCCCCTTCTGCAGCAGCAGCACCTGGGACAACAGGCCACCTGTCCCAGCAGGCCAGTGAGGATGCCCCTGTCCTCTTCAGTCTCAGATTCCTGTTTGTTCTTCCCTGCTCTGCAACTTTTCCAGACTCAACAGATGAATCCTCCCACAGTGACCTTTTTGCTCAGTCTCTGGCTTGCTTTGTGAGTTACAATCTCTCTCCAGCTCCTACTCAGCTCCAGTCACATTGTCCCCATACTAAAATCAGACCCTTCCCTACTACATTCCAGAACCACATCCAACTCTTCTCTCCCATTCTTCCATAGTTTACCCATGTCTTCAGCTTGGTTCCTCCTACAAATCTCTTTTTAATATCTTGCTTTGTCATTCCTCTTCCTCTGACCTACGAAGAGACATTTATTTTTTCTTTGCCAGTTCTCTGCAAAAACCTTGATAAATTTATTTTCCCATTCAGATTTCCTACTTACCATTCCCAGGTGCTTCCATTAGAATAGACATCAGCTGAATGACTAGCAGTACTGCTGGTGCCAGAGAAATATGATAGAGTACAGTTCAAGGTGGTTTTGCAGTGCACATTTTTCATTACAAATTCAGAAAATTGAGCAGAATAGAGAATTTGTTGAGCCATCAAAACTGGGGATGTAAGCAGGTACCTCTGAGTCATGAAAACTACAATATTTGGTGGCAAAATAGACCCAAGATGTCTCAAGGTGATTGTTCAGCTGAAAATACTGGCCTGTGACCAAGGCTCAGCTATTACAATTAATTGTTAGGAGTACTGCCAACAAGTTTCTTCTGCCACTTAGCAGAGAAATCTGAACACTAGTGTGAGTATTAATAAATTCTGTGTGGCAATGAAGTTGTTTCAATCTGAGGCTGTTGGAGATTTTTTCAGTCCTTACCCAAGACTCATTGTCTGCCACTAACCACTATTTAAGTATTTTAGCATCATGCTTTGTACTTTTGGGGAAAGAGGTTTCTTTGTCAGGCATCCTTGAAAGCTAACTATTGTGAGCTCATATGTTGCCTACAAAGAGGGAAACATATATATATTTGTGTTACAGAGATATCAGGTAAGTTCAAAAGCTTTTGTAAACTCACAGAACATTTACACATGCACAATAAATATTCTTCACATGTAGATTTTTTTATAGGTGTGCATATAAGTGTGTGCACATATAAAAAGATCAACTTAATATAAAAACTAAGCCTGCTCTATTATGGTCTGAACCAATCCGAAGTCTGAAAAAAATCGCTTTACTTACATATTTTTTCTTTTGAATTTTTGGGAATTTCCTCATGGTACACAAGCCTACACAGAATTACTTGAGCACCAGAACACTTTCATTTATGGACCATCATTGTTCTTTAGGATGGGGCTTGTGTTTCTTGCTTGGTTATTTTTCCTCGGTGACAATGTCAAAGTCCATGAGGAGACCCTTAGTGCCATGGTAATAAAAATCTCAGTGATATTTGTGAATGAACTTGTACACCTAGGAATGTCTGGCTACTTCTCAAACAATTTCTTCTTCCCGTAAGTTTTATCTGGTTAGGTACAAGCCAACAAAAGTGCCCCTGCTCCCTACCTTAGTGCAGGAGCTGTGATTATCCTTTGCGCAAGGTGGCAGCAGAAGAAAGCTCTTCAAACTCCTCCCTCTCTCCCCTGCACACCTCCTACTAAGGACAGGAATTCCTTCAACTTTATTAATTGTGTTTTAAAAACCACCTGTTGCTACGTTAATATACGTCTGAACAGTACATGGGGTTACTGATAACTTTTACTTTGGGAACACTGGCACACTTCACTTTCCATTTCTTTACCACTATTCCCCTGGGGGAAAGCTAGAAAACTGAATGCAAAGAAAGGAAAACCATAAGACAAAACCCCCTTAAATCACTGATTTTCCCTTTCTGATTTTACTTTTACAACGGGGTGTTTTTCCAATGACAACACAATGACTTCGGGAGAAAAGATCAAGTCCAAGAAAAAATAAAACAAAACAATAAAATTATAAAATAAAATAAAATAAAATGTTAAGCTCAATGCTTAATTAAGACGTCATCACATGAACGACAAATAGTGATGGATGTACCAGTGGTATACCATGTTTCAGCATAATAATTTTGTTTTTCAATAGGAATAAGTAGTGTGGAGAATCTGACTACTGAAGTCCCAGTTAGCAGTTACCTAGATGAAATAAAATGTGAAGTCCACCCTGCTAGTTCTCCTGACCCTAATCAGCATTTGCTGTTTGCATATTTTTGGAAGCAGTTTTCATTTGCTTGTTGTTTTGGGGAACAGATTTATTTCATTTTCCTGGAGCCCAAAATGTGTTGAATTGAATGTTTTACTGCAAATATTAGAGTGGATGAGGCTACTTTAAGATTCATTAAGCCTCAAAATACTCCTAACACATCTTCCCCATATGGAAGAAAACCTTGGGCAAATATTTAATAACCATCATAGATTTGATTCTGTTAAAGTCAATAGAAGTATTAAGAATGGTACTGACACCGTGCTTATTTTGAAAAAGCAAGGATTACTCACCTTGAAAGTACAATACAGTAAATATGTTCTTTATTCAGAGGCATGGTAAAAGAATAGCCAGTCGACTTGGGATCTGAACATTTTCTACAACCTTAAAGCTTGTTTTGATGACCATAACCTTATTCCAAAACCACCGAGTTTAATAAAAATTTCTTTCAGAACTTGAAGAATATTTTATTATGGAATACAAAAATACTATCTATGTAAAAACAATAAGTTAGTTTATTTACAATACTTTACACTATCCTGCTCTGGGACTTCCTTTGCACTGGAATTTTCAGTATTTTACACATCTTTATAATTTTACTTATAATTTTGCACAAAGCATTTCCAAAAGCATGTCATCCATGTTCACTGCTCCAATGATGGGCCTGAAGAATAATTCAGCAACCACATTAGCATTAATAGATCTTAACAAGGAGAGAACAACATTCAGCTTGGCAAATCTGGCTTCATCACCTCTGTGAATGAGTCTGACATGTTCATTTAGAGCTTGTTGTGCTTCCCTCTGCAGTCCTTCAATGTACTGTGTACACTGCAGTCCAGGCAGATCTGAAAAGAGAAATAAATCATTTTGTTTACATCTTTTTTACTTATGAAACAACATTATTCTTACAGAACAACTCCTAACAGCTCACGGACTGTAATTATCACTCAAGGAAAGAAGCAAATTAAATTGCTAGAAGATTTCTTTTATACAAAGTCAACATGCCAAATTTTATTAGGCAGGTCAAATTCTTATCATATTGGTGCTCTGGATATTGAATTATCTTCTTCACAAACCTGAAACATGATATTTATCAACATTCACTTAAGTGTTAAACAAATTGGTTGATAAAAACTTTGATTGAAGAATGCGCTCCAAAACACCATTACAGTGAGGAAGACAACAAAAATAACTTTTTCAGTTTTCCACTTCTACAAAAATCATTGTTTTCATTCTTTTGACAACTGTCTCTACTCCAGTTTATAAATGGCAAGAAGTACTGACTCCAACATGCAACAGGAAGTTTCCCAATGAACCACAGTAGGGATACTGAAAGATAGAAGGTGCAGAATTAAGGCTGTATATGACCACAGAATCATTTTGTGTGGAAAAGACCTCCAAGATCAGCGAGTCCAGCCATTAACCTAACACTGCCAGGTCCACCACTAAACCACATTCCTGAGCAACATATCTACACATTTTTGAACACTTTCAAGGGTGGTGATTCAACCACTTCCACGGACAGCCTGTTCCAATGCTTGACCACCCTTTCAGAGAAGATTTTTTCCCTGCCAGAACAATGCCTCTATCTTTTTTGCATTAGACCAGCTTCCAAATTTGACTTGTACAACATAAGTTTCACCTTAACTATAGTAACTTTTCCTCTCTTATCTGTGTAGAAAGCAAAGCTACAGGAGCAGAAATGATAAATGCAAAGTACCACTATAGGAACCTAACCATCAATAACTATCAGTTTGGCATTGGGAGCGCCAGCAGAGCCCTGTCCCACTTTCACAGGGTACTGCTGTACTTGGGAAGTGCCATGTCCAGCCTGCCAGCTGCCTTTCAGGTGAGTCACAGACGTGATAAGAAGTCCCTTGGTAGGGCTGCACCTATGGGAGTCTCCACAAAGAGAGACGGCAAAAAAAAAAAAAAAAAACGATCATGACTGCGATACCAAAAGCCACACCAGCCTTTGTTGGTGGAAGCCCGAGCCTTCCCTCGGTCTCCGGGGCGCGCAGAGCCCCGGGCACGGCACGGGCAGAGCCGCTGCCCTCGGGCCGTGCAGGAGAACTCCCGCTGAGGGAAACGAGCAAGGAGCCGCTGCTGACTCCCAGCTTTCCCGACCCGACTGCCTGGAATTCGCTTTATTCGTGGAAAGCATCTGCGGAAAGTGCCTGCCCTCACATGACCCCAGACCGAGCCGCAGCCGGACCCACTCCCTGCCTGCGGCCAGGCTCTTGAGGAAGGGGCAGAAGGTGGAGCCTTGCTCCGTGTCCCTCTACTCCAGCACCTCTTTCACTCTGAGGGAAGCCCCGGGTCAGCCCATAGATATATCCCTGGGGATACAGGCGGGCTCTCCCCGCTCTCCTCGCTGCCCTGCGGCCAAGGGCCCCCGCTGCCCTGCCCGGCCACTCACCCGGGTTGAAGAGCACCGTCCCCTTGAGGTAAGCGTACTCTTTGGTGCTGATGTCCAGGCTCCAGCACTTGGCCAGGAAGCCCTTGATAGCCTGGATCTCGCCGGCCGAGGGCAGGTGCGGGCCGTGGTGCTGCCGGCCCGGTGCCGGTGCCGGTGCCCGCGGCGGGGGCTGCTCGCCCTGCTGCCGGGCGGTGAGGATGCGCTGCAGCATGCTGGGCTCCGCGCTCTCCACCGTCTCCAGGTGCACCCGGTCCTGCGCCAGCCCCAGCAGCAGCAGCGGCGCCCAGCAGCTGCGGACCAGCAGCAGCTGCTCCTCCAGCGGCAGCTCCTGGAAGCAGGGCACGTTCTGGACGAAGCGCAGCGTCTTCACCAGCACGGCCGAGGCCGCCTTGCAAGCCACCTGCGGGCTCCGCAGGGCCACCCGCCGCCGAGACCCGCACGGGCAGCCCCGGGGCGCCGGCCCGGGCGGCGGCAGCGCCCGCTGCTCGCTGCGGAGGATGCTGTAGAGGATGCTGCTGTGCCGCCGGCCCTCCGCGCAGCAGCGGCAGCCGCGCTCCGCGCACGCCATGGCACCCGCGGGGCCGGGGCCGGGCTGAGCCGCCTGGGAGGCTCGGCGGGGCGGTCCCTGCCTCCTGGTCCTGCCGGCAGACGCGCAGCGCTCGCCCTCTGTCCGGCTCCTTAACTTATTTATAGCCGGCGGGGGTGTGTGTGTGTGCGTGTGTGTGTGTGCGTGCAGCCGCAGGCGCTGTACCGGCGGTTCAAAGGGGCAGACACTTTACTGGCTGGAAAAGAGGCGGGGGGAAGGAGGGGAGATGAAAAAGAACCCCAAACCCTCCTCCTCCTTCCCTGAGACAGCGATGCCCGGGGGGAGCCGGTTAGCCGGCAGCCTCTGCCCGCAGGCTGCGATGTGATGAGCGCAAATTGCACCCTCCTGGCCGCGGGATGCCCCTTCCCAGCCCCTCTTTCCCCAGGCCGGCTGATGTTAAGCCGGGGTGCTTCGAACAGGGCAGGGCAGCTCCCGCCGCTCTCTCGTTTTGCCACCGTAGGGAGCAGCTCCCGACCCCGCGGGACCCCACCGGGAAATGGCAACTCGCCCCGCTGCCTTCACAAGCACCTGAGAAGTCTGGGGCAGGAAAGACGAGGGTGAATTAGTGAAGAAAGGAACGCTGAATTGGTCCAAATAATTAAATTCCCGCCGGAGGGGCAAAAGGTGGCACCACTAACGACATCGAGGGCTTTGGTGTATGCGTGTCCTAAGGAGCGATGCCTTGTGTGCCAAATGAACTCCTCAGTGCTGCCATGCGGGGAGGGAGAATCGGGCATGTCCTTGCCCAAATGGGCGCTCTGTGAGGGTTGCTAACAGAGCCCTGTCAGGGTGCCCTGAGGCTGGTGCCTCTGCTGCACCCACTGGGATCCCCCATGGAGCCACTCCCGTTAATAATTCCCTTGCTCTGCCTTTCAACATATAGCCCTTCTTTCTGATTATTTTCATTATCGCTTCCGGGTCTGCTTCTCCATGAATCTCTCCTCTTAGACACTTACTTTTCTGTGACCCATGTCCTCCAAGTGGCATAAGGACTCCAAAGCAAGGAAGCCTTCCATCCCTCCAGACCTTGATGTTTACACAGGAGGGACAGGGAAGTAGTGATTGTCCAAATGTGGACTCTTAAATGAAAAATAAACACCTTCTCAGCTCGGCTAAATAAAAGTGGCAGCAGCAGAGCAGAGTAAATAAACACCACAGAAAATAAAGTTACTTCTGTCTGCTGAATATGGGCTAAAACTGAAGCATTTTCTGGTTCACGTGATCTGGAAGAACCTTGAGAGAGAGAGTCAGAGAAAGTATCCAGTTTTAAGAAAAATTCTGCACCTTCTCCACCAGTATCTGCTACGAAGAGAAGACTAAATCACCCTCTAAAAGCTGCATTTTTTTTCCATAAAGTTGTGGGTTTAAAATTTTGCTTGTTTCTTTGTTGCTTTTGGGGTTTGTTTTGTTTTGTTTTGTTTTGTTTTAAAGGAAATACCGTTGAGTTATTTGGATCTTGTAGAAACAAAATAATTTTGGAGTGGATTTTGCCAATTTCTTTTCCCCGTGAAGTCAGCCCTACCCTATCAGCTTAGACAGGTATAGAGTCATATAGTCTTTTCCCTCGAAGTGTTTTTTCAGAATTGGACTCAGAGGGGATAATCTTTACAAATGGGATTTACAAATCTTGTTCTTTTTCGTAGGAAAATATCTCTATAAAGTTATGCAAAACACTGACGACTGATGGGCTACCTGCCTCAAGTAAACCTTGTTTTCCAAATGCAAGCTATCCAAAATCTAGATTATCATGCTTTTGTTTTCCCAATGAAGTGCATTTTCTTTTCCACAGACCCAAGCACAATAAAGCCTTTTGTTTGCTTTGCAGTAGGAAAAAACTGCTACAGTGCACCAATTAAAGTGATGTCTAAAGTTTGCTGACAGGTCAGAAGTTTCACCAAATATCCTTGAAAAAATAAAAGATGCTAGATTTACAAACCAAATGTACATAAGTACAAATTTTTCATTTGTAGAGTATCACTGGTAATGGAAAAACAGTCATTTATTTGTCTAGAATATTTCTTTGCCATTCTAGGTTGTTTCCTGTTATAGTCATCAGTGTTTCTTCAGCATTAGTATTTTAGATGCTTCCTTTTAAGCCTTTTTTTGTCTTTTTCTTTCTTGGCTTATTCGGGGAGGGGTTGTTCACTAATTTCAGAGGCAAGTCTTTTCAATTTTTAGAAAAATAGCATCTCTGCACTTTTAGTTGTCTTCAGTAGCATTTTTCCTATGAGGTAAAGATTAGTAGTCTGACTGTGGAATCTAGATGTGTTTTTTATGAGTTTGTAACTTGAAAAATATCTATGGGAATGCACGGTACAGCTGAGACTGGAATCACTGCCTTTGCAGCTTTGACCTTGGACTACAACTGTGGGAATGTTCTGCTTATTATGGGAGGATGCTGCTTACACAGGGCTATAGACAAAGAAAATATTTGTAAATATAACTTTTATACCAAGTCTACAATAGATTTTTTTTTCCCTGATGTAGCAATATTGGTTGGAGGTGTTTAATTTTTCAAGGTATTTCTCTTCCAAACAAGTCTCAAATGTAGATGCAATTCTTCTGTTATATAATGGTTTTGCTGACTCTTCATTTTCCAGACAAACTCATACAGAAAGTCTTTTTCTTTGATAATTATAACAAAATGTGTACCCCACACTGGAACCGAAACTTGGTTTACTCTTCAGTGCCAGAAATCACATTGCTGTAGTTATAAAATGTACTTCCTTCTCTGAGAAGTGCATGTAAACACTCATTTCTCTCATTCTAATTCTTAATGTATTCTGATATACATGGAAGTTTATTTTATTCAGGGCAAATAATCTTTTTCCCAGCTAAAACATTGAGAATATCCTATGAATATTTATTTGTATTTTTCATGTTGATGCTTAGCAATTTTTACAGTCTTTATTTAAAAATCTTGGTTCTGCCTGTCCATAACATTCAAGCTAAATTAACAACAAAGCATTCTATTCACAACCAAAACCCAAATCCCTCACAGAAACCTAACTGTTTGATGGAAAATGCATGAAAATCCTTTTAGAATAAAGTGGAAGTGCCTGGTTTCTGCTGGAAGATCTGATGTTGCATGGGTACTACCAAGCTCCTTGTAGTACAATCATGAATAGGTTTACAAGCTTCCAGACAAAGGATTACTTGTTTGTATTGTTTGGGGCTTTTTTAGATTGTTTTAGTTTTGGGTTGGTTTTGTGTGTGGTTATAAGGTTTTTTTAGCTCAGACAAAGCCTTGGATACGGAGGTGATACAGTGCAGTCTTGGCAGCCTCACTCTCTCGTGTTGCTGTTCAGTGTCTCTGTATCACTCATCTGGTAGCACATCTGGTTCTTGGCCAGAGGGCAAGACTTCAGTTTCAGAACAAGACCAAACAAGCATTTGTTTTTATGCCATCAGTGCTTCAGTGCACCGTTAGCTTGAGAAAAGCCTTTTTTCCATTGTAGAATTTGATCCCAATGTCCTATAAACACACACTATTCCTTTTAGTATAAGTACTGAAAAATAAAATTTGATTTTAAGATCAAATGTAAAGCAAACTCAACTTGGTGATTAGCACAAGAGAAGTTAACTTTTTTCTACAGAAAAACAAAGTTTAATCTGGAATCTTATTATAAGGATATGATAAGCAATATGTCTTTTGTAAAAATAAATGTTTTATTAAAACAAGGTCTTGGAATTCAAGCACATTGCTGCTTTTCATTCTTTTCTCATTGTGACTATCCATTCGTTAGACTGACCACCATTCACATTTCCCCTATTTTTTCTGGGGTGTTTTTTGAAATAAGTGAGGATTAAGGAAAAAGTAGTTCTACCTACGTGCTGCACCACATACTCCTGATGGCACTGCTGTCCCCTTCCTGGATGGGCAATGGATTCCTTAGGAGGAGCACACCATGAGCCTGAGCCAAAGATAGTTGAGGTGGACTCAAATGAGAGATGTTGACCAGAATATCCTGAGGTTTTCCAGCTTCCCCAAGGCCGGGATTTTACAGTGTTTCTGTGTCCCACCACCAGCTCACCTAACAGTATGTGCTTGTTCTGGAGCAGGATGAGCATATGGTGACATTTTAATGGAATTAGCCAGAGTATATAAAAAGGAGTTTATTCCATGTTCAGACCTTCCTACCAGCTGCTTGAAAGCAAATGATGTCTAACATAGTATAAACCGTAATGGTGCAAAATCAGCCTTTTAACATATCTTAAAGGAACCAGAACACACAGAAGGGAATATGTTATTGTTGCTGTCAGATCAGTTCTTTGTAAAATGTGGCCATGGCAGTTTGGTTACAGAAATAGAAATTCTGAATTTTAATTTACTCTTATTGGACCACGCACTTCACTGTCATATTTCCACTGGCAGATAGCAAATTTAAGGAAGCCTCACATATCCCAGGCCTGGCCTTTTCTTCTTGTAACTATATGCTAATTTACCTTAGCTAATGCTAGATTAGAGTTAACCAGGTTTTGGGGTAAGCAAAGTTAGGGAAGGAAGGAAACTTGTAAACTTTTTACAGTGAAAGACACTCAGTTGTTTCCCATTAAAAAAAAAATTAATTGATCTTTGTGGTCTGTAAACATCTGTGAGCCTCAGCAATTCAAAACTGCACATTTAGATACATTATTGGTGTTTCAGTGTTTAGATATAAGTAATAACTTATATTTTGGTCCAAAGTGGGTTCATGGGGCTCCCAAACATCTGCCATCTGGAATGCTTCAGGGTGCAGTCCCATAAACTGTCCTGAGCCAATCTAGCTGCTCACTGGAGATGAGAGGTGGCTTCCACAGAAGTGCCACTGCTTTCCTTGCCCCAGCTCTAGCACACACCCAATTCTTTGGTGAACCAAATCTTCTTTCTAACCTGGTAGCATTTTTGTGACAGCCATTACAAGAATAGCAGAAATGAGAGAAATTAGATACCTTGAAATGTGCTTTCCATGCTTTATTTTTACCCAGAGATACTTTCGAAG